CTGTTAAGCTCTATGAATTGCTAGATTTGTTTGAGGCTCAAAATTGGGTGAATTTGTTGAGTGAATGTTTTAATCGGAGTCTATATATTGATGCTATGAAGGATTTCTGTAAAATCTTTATGTACTCTAAAGGTGTAATTCGTTGTTGTGTGCTTAAGAAGGATATTGAGTTTGATGCTATGTATTTTGCTGAGTTGTTTGATGTGCCCAATACTGGTTATGATATTTACTTCAAAAATAATGTGATAAGGAACCCTCTTCCTAATGCCAATATTGATGAAATAGTGGAGTATTTAGGTGGTGACCCTGAGGAAACCTACATAAACCACAATAACCTAACCCCTCTCGATAAAATCCTGTTAAAATTTGTGTTCAATGACATAATCCCTCGTTCTCAAAAGAGAGACAGTGCCAACAAGCTTTATTCTATCCTAATCTACTGCCTAGCCAAAAAGATCCAAATCAACTTTCCCTCCATCATGATCCAACACCTTTCCCACTGTGTTCCTAAGGGATGGAAGGTGGGATATGGTAACCTACTCACCTATGTATTTGAAAGCTTTGGTATCTCCTTAACTGTTGTTGAACCTCTGCCACTCAAAAACACTGAGTACATACAGCCTATATTCCTTGAAAACCATAAGTTGAGGGTTGTAGATGGGTGTTTTGAAGCCGTGCAGGAGGAAAAGGAGAAAAGACCTAGGGAAGTGAGTGCACCATCTAAGGGGGAAGATGAAAGGATTGCTGCTGTGGTTGAAGGATTTGTTCAGGAAATTCAGGAACAATAGGAGGAAGAGGAAAAGCAGGTGGAAGAGGTCATTGAGACAGGGGGAAGGAAGAAAAGGAAGAGCTTGAGGTTGATAAAGAAAAAGGAGACCTCTGCCCCCATTTGCATTGATATCTCAGGGGTGCAAGAGGATTTGCAGAAAGTCACAAACTCACCCTTGCTCACATAAGTTTTCAAGCTTCAAATCGAGTCAAGAGTCAATTCCACACAAGTTCATTAGAGTGTTCTTAATGTTCTTATATTAGAGTTTGTTTTTCTTTCGAGTTGTAATTTGGGGAATGGGGAAGTTCGAGTGAACGTTTGTGTATGAGAAAGAGAAGTGAGAAAGAGAAGAGAAAGAGAAAAGAGAACTGAGAAGTGAGAAGAGAGAAAGAGAAGAGAGAACAGAGAAGTGAGAAGAGAGAAAGAGAAGAGAAGAGTAACAAGTTGGGTGACTTGTTCCTCAGGGTCTCAAGTTCGTAGAGGAACTTGAGTTTGAGTCGTTAGCTTGTAATAGGATCATTTTCCCTATTATAGTGAAGATTCTTTTCCCAAAATACCAAGTGGTCGTGGTTTTTCTCCTTGTTAGGGCAAAGGAGTTTTCCACGTAAAATCTCTCTTGCATTCTTTAGTTCCTTTAGTTAATCTTTCAGTTCCTTTAGCTAACTTAATTTTAATTCCGCAAAAAGTTTGGCTAAATTCTCATACTACTTCAACCTCCCCCCCCGTCTTGTAGTATTCTTTGAAACAACACATATTTAATGGGAATATGTAATTGAAAATCACACATAATAAGATAATTTGGACAACCGGTTTAGGTTCCTTTTTAATCTTGTTATTAATTCAAGTGATCACGATATTTTAGAATAATATGTTGCATTAATATTAAACCAATTTAGCTTAATAATAGGTTGAAGCAAATTGAATCTTTGTTTGTATGCATTTGAGATCGCAGGAATCACTTTTCACAATAAGAATCGAGTAGAGGCCAATACGGGCGAATGTGACTCCATGACTCACTTCGTACCATCATCCCCGATCCTCCTTTCGTGGTTCCGAACCATATGGAGTTAGTAATCTCATGGATTATGTATTGGGTGTAACCTTCACGGGTCAATCGTTGTTGCCTATCGTTGTCCCTTTATCGTGGTTGCCTTTTATGATCCGTGAACGGTTTACAAGTTCCTTAAAAAACTTGTTGGCGGCTCCCTACTTTCCTTGTCCGTAATCGTATTATGTCAATTCCACTTCCTATGAGTGCCAAGCATATTCACAACATGCTTAAACGTAGGCGCACTTCGAACGACGCCTACACATGGAAAAAACCTACATCCATCTCTACCAACATCAACACAATATTGACTTTAACCAAAATCTAAACCGGACAATACTCGTTGCAAAACCAACTCCAATAATTGGAGTCTTAGGATGTCAATTCGGGTACTTGGGTGAGGTTTGATCAAAAATGTTTTTTTTAGTCTTTTTTTTTTATTTTTTTTTAAATTTATGCTGGCAATTTATAAGATGCACCATTGTGCATAGAAGATACATGCACCAGTCCCAAAACGACAGTGTTTCATCTATTTTTAATTTCTTTTTTAACGTCACTATTCTATTTCTTGCAAGAGATATTTCCATATTTCCTCTCTCCTTTTTTTCCTTCTTCTTTGATCAAATTATTTCCTTAATTTCTCTCTCCTCTTTTTCTCTTTCATCTATTTTCTCTCTCCTCTTTTTCTCTTTCATCTATTTTCTCTCTCCTCTTTTTTCTGTTTTTGATTTTTTCACTTTATTTCGGTTATTATCAATGGAGATTATTGAAGTACATGATGAACTTGATATTTCAGGTTAGATTATTGATCTATTTTATTATTTTTGCTTCGAAATTAAGTTATATTTCGTTCTTCTTATATTTAAATCTTCTCTTGTGATTGATTTTGCAATAGAAATTGATTGTATTATTTTTTGATTAATTGATGTTGATTTTGCAATTAAATTTTGATTTTATTATGTTGATTAGTTGTTAATATGTTTTGAATTATATGTTTTATTTTTTCTCTCACTTTTTTTTGTTCATACTTTATAATTATAAGTTTAATTTTTCTGCTTTTATTGCTTTTTCAACAATTAATATTGATAATATAAATGTTTTATTAATTGATCATATTTTGTAATTAATTCGGTTCATATGATTACTTACCGCATAATTTATGTGATCAATTTGAAAGATATTCATATATTTTAGTTGATATTTATTAATTATTGATTAATTTGAGATCTAATGTTAATTAAGCTAAAAGTGTGTGTTGAATTTGATTGTTGATTTTAATTGATTATTTTTTTTTGGATGATTTTCAGCTTAATTTATTTTTTAATTGTTGAATTGATGTTTTAATTTGTATTTTATGAATATAATTTGTTTATATCATGTTTTTGAACATTTTGTTCATATAATTCGAGTAACACACTTTCCATTGTATATATTATCAAAATTGTTATTAGCGGTATCATATTATGAATATTGTTTCTATTTTTATGAACATTTAGGTTACATTAATGAACCTTTTCGTTTTACATAAATCTCTGAGTATGTATGTATGCTTTTTAGAAAATAATTGTAAACGTAATTATGAACATTTTTCTCCTGTATTTGAACTTTATTGTTTTATTTTTGAACTCCAGTAATGGTTATTATGAATTGTGTTTGTTTATTGCAGTTATAAAATATGAAGTTATTTATAAGGAAAGTCTAAAGGCGGAGCAGCATTCTGAGCAGTGTTTTCACGTGCAAAAGTCTTTGAATGATGTTCAGTGGTTTGTGGTTGGGTTCAAAAGGTTTTGTAGGGGGTTCAGAGATTTTTGTAGGGTATTCAGTGGCTTGTGGTTGGGGTTCATAAGTTTTTATACGAGGTTCAAATGTTTTTGTAGGGTGTTCAGTGGTTTGTGATTGAGATTCAGAAGTTTTTATAGGGGGTTTAGAGGTTTTTTAGGGTGTTCAATGGTTTGTGGTTGGGGTTCAGAAGTTTTTATAGGGTGTTCAGTGGTTTGTGGTTGGGGTTCAGAATTGTTTGTAGGGTGTTTAGTGGTTTGTGGTTAGGGTTCAGAAGTTTTTGTAGGGTATTCAGTGGTTTGTGGTTGGGGCTTAAAAATACTTGTAGGTGGTTTAGAGGTTTTTGTAGGGTGTTCAGTGGTTTGTGGTTGGGGTTTAGAAGTTTTTGTAGGTTATTTAGTTGTTCGTGGTTGGGGTTCAGAAGTTTTGTAGGGGCTTCATAGGTTTTGATAAGGTGTTAAGTGGTTTGTGGTTGGAGTTCAGAGGTTTTTGAAGGTGGTTAAAATGTTTTTGAAGGGTGTTCAGTGGTTTGTAATTGGGGTTCAGAAAATTTCCTAGGGAGTTAAGAGGTTTTTTTTAGGTTGGTTCAGTGTTTTCTAGTGGCTTATCAAAATTTTTTTGGGGCATATCATAAATTTATGGGGGCTTTTGGGGGATATTCAAAAGTTTCTTTAAGGTGTTCAGTATTTCGTCTATAGATAAATATTAAACAACAAAAGAGGAAATACACAACATCCAAATAAATTATTATTCATACCAAAATACTTGATCAAATTTATACATAAATTATTGTTTCATACAGCACATATATATGGACATAAAAGACAACTTATATGAACATCAAACAGGATATATATGAACAAAAATATGAGAGATATGGAACGATTAACATCAGATTTGCTAATTTTATTGCACAATCCACCAATTGGTCAAAAATATTAAAAGAAAAAAAAAGGCAAATTTTCATTTTTTTGACAAAATACAGGATACTTCATATTAAAATGGATAGAGAAAGTAGAGTTTTCCCCATTTTTTTGTTGAAAATGTTAGAGCTTCCAGTAATTTAGAGGTAGAAAAAGGAGAATTAAATTGTTAATGAGTGAAACAAAAAATAATATATATATAAAAAAAAGGAGAGATTAAAATAAAAAATGGTCGTTTAAAGTTTTAGTTTAGATTTTCAAATAATAAAGAGAATATCAAAATTCAATGGTGAAAAAAAATGACTGGGCTTCTTTCTATTGGACGCGGGCTTCTGTTGGGCACAGATATGTTTGGGCTGGGCATGTAATACCAATTGATTTATGCTAAATTATTTGGTCCACATAGTACAATCTTAATATTCCTATTTTTTATTTTCCGAATCGATGCTGTCAGTTTTTGACGCCTGAAGTTAGAGACTAGGTTTGATCAATAATAAACTTCAAACCCAACCCCGACCAGCCCATTTTCACGAAACTTTTGCCACACATTAGTAGGAGAGAGAACGGGTGAAGAAGATACTATGGCGACGGTGGGAACGGAGACGAGGCAACCCAGGAAACGACGTCGTATAGTCTGGGACGTTGCCCCTACTGACATTATTCAGGTACTATTTTCGCTCCTCTTTTTTGGATTTTAGGGTTTAGTCTTCTATTTTCCCCCTAATTACATGATTTCTGATTATTTTAGATACCCTTGAATCAAATTTTTGATATTTTTCTGGAGAAAATTTACAGGAATATCAGCCAATTGCTGAAAATAATTTAGTGGAAAGATATGTAACGCCGCCTACAAGACAAGATGATCGTGGAGGGCATTATGTTTTTTCTGTCGGCGAGAATTTGACTCCAAGATGTAAGCTTTTTCTACAATTTTTTATTTTTAATTTTTGGGTTTATTTTTATTTATAAAAATTGTGAAATTTTTGTATAAATTTTCACTCCATTTTACAAATGATTTCATGTTGTTTGCTCCAATGCTCCATGACAGAAATTCTTGAATAATTTGATTTGAATTTTTTTTTTATTGTTATTTTAGTTGATTTTGGTGTTGTCGATAAAAAAAAAAGAAAAATATCACACTAATGTAAAGATAGTTGTTCGAGAGTGAAGATGTAATCAAATGAAGCTAAATGGATTAAATTAATAAGGCGTAGTTTCTTTCAGTTAAGGAGGTGAAATATGACGTGAGAAATATCAGGGAGTGTTTGGTTCAGCTCATCAGGCGTCAGTGGCGGATCCGGGGGTCCAAAATAAACTTTCTAACTTAATCATACCAATGTACGAACAACAAAGTAAAGAAATGTCATGATACACCGAAATTTACAAATTGTTTTCAATAATACAAACCAAATACATTCATAAGGGGGAAAACAAAGTAAAAAAAAAAAATTACAATTGTTCTCGTCGAGTTTTCATTTCTTGAAATCGCTTCATAATATCATCATCACTAATTTCAAGGAAGATGTTTCTCTCTATGAAAGTAACCTAACAATCGTTTAAAAGTTGATCACCCGTGCTATTTCGTAACTTATTCTTCACATAATTCATTGAAGAATCATCACCAACTTTATGAGCAAATAAACCTATTGGAACACTTGACACTTTTTTTGTTTCAACTAACTTCATGGAGAGTTCACTAAGATCATTTAATCCCCAAAATCTATCATCTCTTCTCATATCAGTAATATAGTTCCCTAGTTGATCATCAAGGCTTAACAAATCAGCACTTGAAAACTCATCTTCATAATACTCGGCAAGTTTTAGTATCTTTTGTTTATCAAAGGAAGAGAAAACATCAACGGGACTTAAAGAAGCCATGCAAACAAGTAATTCCATACTAACCTCATCAAATCGATTATTAAGCTCTTGTAGTTGAAGATCAATTACACTAAAAAATACTTCAATTCAAAAATGATGCATATTAGTAGTATCCAAACGACCACTTTTTTCCTTCCCGGAGGAGTATACACACCATTCATATCAAGAACACTAATGCCATTTTTCTCACAGAATGTAGTGGTTGTGGTAAGGAAATTATCCCACCCACTTTCTCTCATGTCTTGCAATCTTTCTTTAGTCAAAGAAACAAGTGACATGGCATTAACAATATCTTGATCTCCTTTTTGCAAAGCCTTATTTAATTCATTTACAATCCCAAATATTGTTTTTTACAATCCCAAATATTGTTTTCATCAAGTGGATCATGAAAATAAAATCAAATGACTCAATTGCAAAACTCACATTATCCGCTTTTCGAGCATCATCAGAATTTCTAGCATCATCCCCAATTAAATCAAGCACCTCACGAATTGCAGGATACAAAGCAATCACATTTACCATCAATTTATAATAAGATCCCCAACGTGTGTCACATGGCCTAGCTAAGGCAAGTTCTTGATTCTTACCTTTTCCACTTTCACGTTCACTATTTTCAATAGCTTTAGTAACTTTTTCAGCTTGTTTTCCCCTAAGAACATCATTTCTCTTACAAGATACTCCAACAACATTTAACAAATCACCAAGTGTGTCAAAAAGCCAACCACAATCTTTGCTTTTCTTAGAAACGGTAACAAGAGTCAATTGAAGTTGGTGAGCAAAACAATGAATGTAATATGCAGAAGATGTTTCATTCTTGATTAAAGTTTTGAGCCCATTAATTTCACCCTTCATATTACTAGCCCCATCATATCCTTGCCCCCGAACTCTAGACAAACTTAAAGAATGTTCATTAAGCAAAGAAGGGATAGCTTCTTTAAGAGACAAGGCAGTGGTGTCCCGAACATGAACAATCCCAAGAAACCGTTCCACTATCATTCCTTTCTTATCAACATAAGGCATACACAAAGCCATTTGTTCCTTTTGAGATGCATCACTAGACTCGTCGACTAAAATGTCAAAATTATCGTCACCAATATCATTCACAATTGCTTTAGTAGTTTCTTTAGCACAAGAATTGATAAGATCTTTTTGAATTGAAGGATTAGTCATTTGATTATTCCGTAGAGCATTTTTTAAGACTACATTTCCTACATCTTCATTTTTTTCAGCAAACCATTGTAAAAGTTCAAGAAAATTTCCTTTATTATTTGAATCTTCACTTTCATCATGGCCATGAAATGCCAATCCTTGGCGCAAAAGAAATCTCAAACATTGAAGTGAAGTAGTCAAACGGACTCTATAATCATGTTGCTTAAGTTTCGATGGACGTTTTTGGATTTTTTATGTCTTCAAACTTTTGTAAAGCTTGATTATGAGCACTATTAACCCCACCAATATGTTTCCTAAATCTAACTGGCCTATTCCTACTTCTAAATCCATTAACAACAAATGCATCCCCCCTGCAGCTTTAGAAATTTCATTCTTAAACAAATAGCACACAAGGCAAAATGCAGCATCTTTTGACTCACTATACTCAAGCCAAGTATATTTCTTAAACCAAGAACGATTAAAGCGACGTAATGTACCTCCTCCGAAGTTTGATTGAGGAAATTTGTGAGTAAGTGGCTGACAAGGACCTTTCTGTATATATACTCTCCTCACTGCATCTTGGTCCATCGGATGATACTCCACAATTTTTCTCCTTTTAGCTGGATCATGTGGCAATGAAGTAACATCAAGCTCACTTTGTCTCTCCCTTGATGCAAATGTTGTACTCCCATTGGTAGTAGGTATTGATCCCGTTCCGGTATCCTGAGTTTCCGGTGTGTTATTTGATGGGGATGAACACTCTTGCTCTGTTTGAGTTGTTGGAGGTTGAGTTGGTGATGAAGAACTTGCCTCACTTCTTTTGGATTTTTGAATAAACCAATCCAAAGTTCCTTTCTTTTTCTTACGGGGAGGACTACTCCTATCATCAACCATCTTTCACTGATAGAAAAATAGAGTACTCTAAATAAGTAAATAGTCATAAACAAACTAATAAAAAAAAATCAGTCACATTTGCACAATTGACAATTGCAGGGTATTAGAATTTAGAATAAGACAATCATTCAATTTCATGTAATTTTAATCAATTACCTAAGTTAATCACTCACACACAGTCACTTTAATAGTCTAATTAGTACTCTAAAGTTGAAATCTACAATCTAAATCAATCAAATACACAAATTAATTCTACAAAGTACAAATTAATTCTTGAATCTTGATTAAACATTTCAAAGTAAAGGCAAGAAGTATATAAATTTGTACAATAAGGAAAAATTAATTTACCTTAATACCTTGTATTCTTGTATATTAATTCAAGTGTAGACAATCTGCTGCTTGGAGAAGTCGGAACTCGGAAACGGTCAGCGGCGACGAACTTTTCCGGCAGCAAACTAGTGAACTCAGGTCGGCAAAACTAGCGGTGAGGTTGGGTTAGGCGGCAGTTGGGCAGTAGTACTAAGTAGATCTGGGCATTTGAGCTATTGAGGCATTTGAGTTAGAGAGAGAAAGTTGGGTAAGGGTTGAAAAGGGTGAGTGACTGTACAAGAACTTTTAAAAAAAATTTTTTTTAAAAAATATTGCTTTTTATGTACCCCAATCACGTGAAACATTTAGGAGAATTGTAGAAATAAGGAGTCCACTACTTGTTTGTAGTTAATGTGCCAGACACATTTAGAATGGGGATTCGATTTTTTGGGCCTTTTTTTTTTAACTAGCTTGGGCTTATGTACCTGATTTTTTTTTATTTTTTCCAAAATGGGGCTGCAATTGCTCACCATAAGGGCTTAATAGGTCCGCCCCTGTTAGGCGTTTTTAATAAATAATAAGTGGAACTTCATAGAAACAGGAACGCCCCCTGTCCTGCCCCCAAAAAATGGTTGTCAAAGAGTGGGGAGTATGTTCTTCTTGCCTATTGTTTTAGATTATGATGTAAGCTGGATTTCTGGCTCTTCTCTGTGATAAAGTTCCCACGAGGCCATAACTGGTGCTGCCTCTTACATATAAGGTGGTGAATTATGTCTTGAGAAATGTTAGGCAGTATTTGATTAAATTGAGCAGGCACTGCCGCACTGTGATTTAAACAAATTAAGGGAAAGCAGGATAGGAACAATAAGTTTACTAAAGGGTATGGGAAACATGATGTAAATGATCTCTAACAACTCATTCCTTCGTTTCTTTTTTCTACGATTGATACGATGCCATATACGAAGTACGTTATGTTGTATTATTGCTGCTTTAATTGTCAATTTCTTCTGACGTAAATTTTGGGTCTATGTCAATTGCTTTACAGATAAAATTCTTAGCAAGATGGGTGAAGGTTAGCTGTCAAATGTTCAAGTGCCTCTCAGATGTTCCATTTTATGATTCTGCTTGTGTCATCTTAGCAAGCTGCTCGTACTGTAGGCACATTTGGACGAGTTTTGGAATGTCTGGACAACCAAACACAGGAACATGTTGCAATCAAAGTAGTTCGAAGCAATTCAAGGTATCGCGGTGCTGCAATGATTGAAATTGATGTGCTTCGTCATCTTGCTGAACATGATAAAATTGGATCTCAGTATGTACTTCTGGCCTCTTGAAGCAATTTTTTTGATTATCTGGAGCTGTAAATTGACTGACAAAGCAGTTATGTAGCTGCCTTAAAAGTAGGAAATTCGACACTTTGCTGTGGTCACATGGCTACTGTCTTCTTACAACTTGTTACTTTCTGGATGCAGTTGTGTTCAAATAAGGAGTTGGTTTGACTATCGTAATCATGTCTGCATTGTAAGTCATCCACTTTTCTTAAATTGTGCTTTTACCTTTTTTTCCTTTTTCTTGTCAGGTTAACATACAGAGGGTCTGTTAAATTGTGTATCTGTGAGGAAGATGCTGATATTGCTTCTATGTGGATATACTGTTAATTGATTCCAACATTAGATGGCAATGAATTCTAGATTAATTTGGATTTGCTTATCAGTATTGTCTTTTCTGACTTCTTTTAGACTTGTGTTTCTTCAGTGCTTTCCCTTGAAGCTGCACCTTGATTTTACTTTCTGGCTCTATATGTCATGATTGTTGTACTATTTATTACTTTGCTAATAGCTGATAAGATTGCTTACAACTTAATGGAAACACCCCCTTTTGGATGCATTTTGATGGTGTTGTCAGGTGTTTGAGAAGCTTGGACCAAGTTTATATGATATCCTAAAGAGGAATAAACACCGCCCTTTCCCTGTTGACCTCGTTCGAGAATTTGGACGTCAGCTTTTGGAATCTGTATCATGTGTGTGGATTCTTCTTAACCTTCTGGCTACCTTCTTGCAATATATACTTTACCCCCAATTTATTGACTACACTTCTCCTGTTTTGTTTTGTTCAGGAGCCTTGGTCATTTAACTATCATCTTTGTTAATTTTGTTTGCAATGCTCTATCATATGTGACAGATATGCATGAGTTGAACTATATCCATACAGATCTGAAGCCAGAAAACATACTTCTAGTCTCTTCTGAGTGTGTGAAGATACCCAACTGGGAGGTATTTAGCCCTTTTATGATTGATAAATGGTGCCATTGTAGATTGTTGTTGTCCTTAGTGTCAATACTAAAACAATAATTGTCATGGTACAGAAAATGCCTGCAGGCGAAATGCATTTTAGCTTCATGCCAAAGTCAAGTGACATTAAGCTTATTGATTTTGGTAGTACTGTATATGATAATCCAAATCATAGCTCCACTGTTTCCACCAGACATTACAGAGCACCTGAAGTTATCCTAGGTAACTAGTTACTTTCTGGGAAAATGAAAGTTGAATTTGTGATGGTTATTTACCTTACTGTTTATATCATTTTAGTTCTAGCCACAGTTCACCCACATCTTTCTCTTCTTCTTGTGCTTTTTGAGAAGTATAGTTTTGAACTTTTTTATAGTGTATGGGGAGAAGGGGTGGAGGGGTTCACATTGATTGGCTATATAGTTCGGTGTGAAAACCATGAGCTTACTGTTGGTTTGTTGTTGATTGTCATAGCTAGATAGTTCATTCATACTGATATTTAAGGGTTGAGGTGGTGGCTTGTATCTTAAATGTTGTTTCAAAGCTCATTAACCCTTACACTGCAGAATGCAGTTGCCTGGATGATGCATAAATTGTGTGAAAATGTTTGTGTATTTGTGGCTTTGGAAAACTTGTTGCTTTGTTTATATGATCTTATGCTTTTACTTCTTGCAGGTCTAGGCTGGAGCTATCCATGTGATTTATGGGGTGTTGGCTGTATACTTGTTGAAATTTGTTTTGTGAGTCCAACTTCCTTTCGTTGGTAAAAAATGCTGCATCTATGGGCCATGGTGCTGGTCAGTGGAGATGATTTGACTCTCTTAAGTGTGTTTCAGGGTAAAGCACTTTTTCAAACTCATGAAAACCTAGAGCATCTAGCGATGATGGAGAGGGTGTTATATCCTTTCCCGCAATATATGATACAAAAAGCCACGTGAGTATCATTATAATCTTACAGTGTACTGTGGACTCTCTTGTTTAATACGAAGTATATATTTACGGAATTTTTTTAGAAGCCTGTCCCTGACCATGATAATGAGGATGATTGAATTGTTGTTTGTGTTACACTTTCATTTTGCTCCTCGTTGTCGGTTCCTTTCATCATCGCAGCCGGGGTGCTGATGTATATTTTAGACAAGGATCTCGTCTGAACTGGCCTGAAGGAGCAGTATCAAGGGAGAGCATCAAAGCTGTACAGAAGCTTGAGCGTGTGAAGGTTTGGATCATTTTGGCATCTTGTAGAGTTACGATCAGGGTTTTTTTAGAGTGTTGGACTGTCTAATTTTGCTGGTCTTGATTGTTGATTGTAGGATCTCATATCTCGGCATCTAAATAGATCGATTTCTTGTGTCTTCATTGACCTGCTGTACAAGCTGTTGAGATTTGATCCATCAGAACGGCTTACTGCCAGAGCAGCACTTAATCATCCATTTTTTAAGAAAGCTTAAACTTAAAAGGGCGTTTTTGTCTTGTGAGTTTGAAAGTCGCTATTTGGGAAGCATAAGCTTTAAGCTTTGAGGATTCCCTTTGCAATGTCTGCTTCAAGATTAGAATTGGCAGCTGCCTTATGGATACAAATGTTTGTAGGCTGAGAAATTTAACTGCAACAGTTGTGTATATAGAAGCACTGAAACAAAATTACATACTACGTATATGTGCAGATTTTTATTTAATCATTCCGATTGTTTAGAATACCTCTGAGGTAAATCACGGTAATGCTGCCTAAAAAAGTTAACACAAACAGCTATGAGAGTATGAGCAATGTTACTTCCCAAACTGTTGAGAGTTGAAGGGAATGCAACAATTTAATCAATGGTAATGCTATATGTAAACTTAAGGGCTACAAATAAGCATTAAATAACTTTTCTTATTTGGTACTTCCTCTTTTTATTTATTTATTTATTTTTATTTTTTATACACTTTTCTAAAATGAAAATGTCACAATGAAATTATAATTGTATTATTACTTTTATTTAAAGCTAATGGCTCACTTGATTATAATTCTAACAATCTCTTAACCCTATTTTATGTTTATTATCTCATGTGAGTTTTACTTTTTTTAAATATCGTGATATAGTGTGTTGCAATTTAAAAAAAAAACAAAGAAAGTATTAGTTAAAATATGCATGAAAAAGTCAGGTGCAAATAAGAAATATATAATGCATAAAAATAGTAGTACTAAAATAAAGCAAATAAAATAATATCTAATAGGTGAAAAATCTCAATTGCTACTTTTTCATATGTATATGAATGTATTGTAATTTTTTTAATATGATGAAATTAACCAACCACATACTCGTGGACTTATAACAAGTGCATAATCAATGAGAAGAGAATAACCACTAGATGAACAAATGACTAGTACCTCACATTCTAACAAGATTATTGGCGGTATATGTGCCCAAAAAAAAGCATCAATTTAGAAATCTCCTAAATTTGGAGTAAATGACTGAAAATATTAACTAATAATATATCTCCTATGGAATTGTGGAATTTTTAGTCAATCTTACTTATCTCTTTTGGCTTCGACATACACAGCCTGTTATGCCTACATAATTTCCATCACCTCTAAACACATTTCACTTTTGAAAATGCAACTAGCAAAATATATTCCATGTTTCTCTCATTCATCTATGAACCATGAAAATTATTTGACATCAATCCAGCATATCAATTATTTTATCTTTTCTCCTATGCTTTACCTTATTACAATTGCGCTTTTGATATTTGCCAGCAGGAATGTTAGGCACTTTGGGCACCATACCTTGGCTCTCGGAACGCCATAGACGCACGAAACCTAATCCGACACATGACAGCAATAGTCGTTGGATATTTTGTCCCGAGAAGCCTGACATATTAGGAATTCTTGCTTTTGACTCAGCTAAGTCAATGTCTCGTCTAGTCTCTCTTTACAAATCACTTTCCGATGCCGAGATATTTCGTTTAAGAAAAGAAGTCATCCGAGAGCAGGGTATCACATTTTTTATCTCGGGGGATGAGGGCTTTTTGTTAACACTTGCTTGTGCTGAACGACTAGAGGACTTGGATCAAGCTGCTAATGTTGTGTCACGCCTAGGCCAAAAGTGTACAGATTATGGTTTAATACGCTTTTTACATGTATACAAGGATCTTAAGAATGGGCACTTGGATATACACAAGCTAAATAATTACGGGTCGAGAGAGATGGAAAAGTCGGTTGAAAAAATGGAAAAGTTAATATCATTGACAGGTGAATTATATGGAGAGCTTGAAGAATTAACACATATGGAGGCATCAGAAAAGAAATTAAATGATTGGAAAAATAATTATAGCACCCACAACACAAACTATGATCTCTTTGATAATAAAATTTGTAATCAAAGGAAACTTGTACGTCATTTGAAGGAAGTTTCACTATGGAATTATTCATACGACAAGGTTGTTGGAATCATGGCGAAAATGGTATGTGTGCTATATGCTCGAGTTTGTACGCTTTTTCGGCCTTACATTTTCATATTGCAACAAAATAAAACCATGAACAAAAGGTTATCTAGTGATTCAACACCAAAAACTATAATGTCAGGTACGATTCATAAAAATCTATGTCCGAAAAAGGTACCTCTTATGCGGTTCTTAAGTAGTGATAGCAACGTTTTTATTAAGGAGGATGTGAAGTTACGCCTTGCGATCAGGCAATACAACTATCACCTCATTAACAACAACAACAAAGTGTTCCAGGCAGCCCCTCCCTCAACTGTTGGTGGGTCTGGATTGGTTTCTAGGTATGCTAGTGTTGTATTATTGGCTGAAAGGTATTTTAACTCGGAATCCCTAATAGGAGACCAAGCGCGTGAAAGCATGTACAACATGTTGCCTTCTCGCCTAAAGATGTATGTGAGGTCAAAACTTAAGGTTGCTTGGAGGGAGATTGAGAATAATATTTACAATGGTGACGCGTTGGCTGAAGGATGGAGGAAGGCAGTGGGCGACATGCTAGAGTGGCTTGTTCCGGTGGCTGAGAAAACGATTATATGGCAAGTCGAGAGGAATATGGAGAAGCAAAAATTCGATTCAAAACCTACTGTGCTTTTGTTGCAAACTTTGCATTATGCAGATTTGGAGAAAACGGAGGCAACTCTTGCAGAGGTATTGGTTGGGCTAAGTTTTATATATATTTATGAAAATCGAAGAATCTCTTGCATGGATACTTCATAAATATATATTATAAAACTTAGCTCTCTATTAGCCAATATACAACTTCAAATGAGCCTAATATAAAATACTAGTACAATTTTATTAGTTTATTATCTTCAAGAATGTTAAGCGGTCATACTTATATTAGGAAAGTGGCGGTTAGCTAAGGGGGGTGTATATGTTTATTTTGTTGTGATTTCATATTGTTAGTCCAACAGCTATGCACTATTATGTATGGTCAAATTTTTATTGGCCAATAACATCGCTTACAACATTATATTAGTTTAGATTTTTATTTAAAGACCTAATTATTGTTGCATTATTTAGTTAAGGTGATAAATCGTATGTATAACCAGAAGTTGTGAATGTAAGAGATCTCTTCATTATTCCTAATTGAGATTCCCGTGAGAACCATCATACTATGAAAATTGTATGAATTTCCGGACATGAGTGATATCAGAAAGAATCTAAATTACAGTAAGTGAGAATTAATGTCAATCGAGTGCTTGAGAGAGGAATGCAACCTTCAACTAGTGGAAGGCTTCTACTTGTATATAGCAAATCGGAAGGTTTCTACTTGTATATTGCAAGCCTGATTGAACTGTACATAATAACTGATATTTTAGGTTAGGGACTATACATATTTATTAGTGTTTCGGGGTTTTTTTGTGTCCCTTGGGAGAGTTACAACTCGAAGACGGAATTCGGCAAGGACGCCTGTACTTGCAAAACAAACGGAGCTCCGAATGGTCGGAGGTTCGCCTCCGAAGATTAAGTTAGTAAGGAATCGGAGTAAAACGTGCGGAAAGTAAGTTATCTGCTCGGATTCCGGGCTCAGGTGTTCTCTGTTTTAGAGAGCAATAAATGCCTTAATGATTAAGACGTATAGTTCTAGGTGTCAAAATTGCAAGGTGCCCCAATAATTGGGGGAATCTCCCTATTTATAGAGTCCTAGGAAAACGTGCCCTACCCTAGAGTTTGATGACCTAGGGATTAGGGTAGTGCCGTTTTGCGGTGCCCCTTGGAATTGGGGCCTTAAAGACCGCCATCTCCAGGGGGCATATCTGAGTGACACGTGTCGTATATCTAGGAGTCCATTTGGACACCTCTCAGAGGGACACATGTCGCTCTCTTATTGGTCCACTTGGGGGTATTAAATACCCCAAATTATTTGCCCCTCACAGGGATGACGTGGCATGCCACGTGACGCCTGTGACAGATGTCGGCCCCTGATTTGCCGAAATTTTACTTTTAATGTTGAAGGGAATCTAGGGTTTTTACCCCATGTTTTCACCCTATCTATAAACAGAAGGTTGACTTCTCCTTAGATTCACACTTGCGTGAATCTTTGGGAGAATCTTGAATCTCTAACTTTCAAAGACTTTGACTTCTTCAGCATCCGACACTCGGCCAATCGTCCACCTGTTTCAGCAGACATAAAGAGCAAGCGCCTCTAGTACCTTCTTCTAAGGTAACCGCCTGATCCTTTCTTTACTTAATTTTTAAATTTGCATTTTTCTTTTTCAAAAATGGTTTCTCAAACGCATCCGGCACGACCTAGGTTAGCGATCCTTTCTTTACTAGGAGTGCCGAATGCTCGTTTGAGGACTCCCCTTTGAGTACATCTCCAAATCCGACAACGTCTGTGCCCCTGCTGGACACCATGGAAAGAACAAAGCAGACTACTCAGAGGTATAGGACGGATGGTACATGGTACCATTCAGAGAGCTCAACAGTCTACTCGGATGGCTCCATTAGGAGGCCTGTCTCCGAGGTTAGCCGAGACTCTCCTAGCAATATTAGTACTCCGAGCTGCTCAATTTTAAGGGAGTCGGTGATGAACAACAATCTCCTGGGCCGAGAGGACCGGTGCCTGATGTTGAGATGGGGGAGGACTCCGCTGGCACCAGTCGGCGGGCCCCCAGCTCCAAGGAAAACTCCAATGATGACTCTGCGTCATCATCTTCTGACAGCGCCTCCGTTAGCTCGGAGGAGACACGGTCCAAACTTGCAGACACCCGAGAATACCTCTTAGTAGAGAAGGGAAAGGGCTGGGAAGAGCCGTCTGCTTCGCGACGACAAGAACATGCTCTCTATTTTTTGCACGTCGCCGAAAGTAGGCGGAAAATAATGACAGCCGAACTCCCTAAATTTCTTTCCACCCATGACATGGGACATAGTTATCTGTTGTCCGTGCCAGATGGTGATGACACACTCACCTGGCCAGAGAGGGCCAGCTATGGTGAACAATGCTTTGGATGCTACGGGGCGTCCATTCAGGCTTGACTACGCTTCCCTCTCCATCCGTCCGTGGAGAGAATCTTGGACGGATACCAATTGGGTGTTTGGCAACTATCCCCAATTCTTAGGTTAATATATTGGGCTACATTGCCGCCTGTGAGATGCTGGAGGTGGAGCCCAGTTTCGAGGCGTTTGCTCATATGCATTACTTGAGCAAGACTCCACACGCAAGTGGGGTCGACTGGTTTATTCTGACCAACCAAAAGGGCTACATGATGACCCTGGGGAAGGAGAATAAATGGAAAAGGTGGAGGTCTAAGTTTTATATTGTCTCCTCCCCTAACTTTCAAAGAAACAAGCGGTACAACCGCTAGATTAAGGAGCCGTCCCTCCTTGCTGGGAAGAAAGCCCTGCCGCCTGTCCCAACACTAGTAGAAAAATATAAATAGGCAACCCCCTAATG